CGGGGCAGCAAGGCAGACAGGCAGACCGAGGTCTACCCCAGGAAGAGTTGGAAGAGGAGGACGGATCAAGGAGCCCTGCGTCACTCTGTTCATCGGGAAGGCGGGGACGAGAAGTTAGACTAAGGCGTGGAACGGCGCTACCGAGTAAGAAAGGTGACACGACCGCTCGCCGCTGTACGACGGTATCGTTGCCCAAGTTCGTGGCAGATGTAGTGGTAGCTTTGCGCACAGTGGCGATAAAGGCATGTGCAAATATCGTCTGGTCCGGCTCTGGGAGCTGGCAGTGTTCCTTACTTACTTTTAAAGCCTCCTTTTGCTGCGCTCTTCATGCCCTCGAAGGCCCGCTCCGACAGTATGGTGTTTTTCGCAATGAGTTCGGTCAGCATTGAATGTGTTTGAAGTTATTCCGGCATGTGCCATTCTAAAACAAGATGCGGCCTGTTCACATCCACGGAGAGAGCAGTCACGCCACCCACGGACACCAGAAAAGGAAACTCTTTGGTTGCAATTTGTATATCGTGTATTTAGTGTTCAGCTCGTTACTGAGAATGCGGTTTAGACTAAGACCAAAACATACGTTCCGAGCCGCGCGGAAGGAAGGCGGCCTATCTACTGAAACCCATATTGTTGTCCTCCGCGGTCGTAGCTCGCACCCCGCAACAAGCCAACCGCCAAGTCTCGATCGGTTTCGCTGGCGAATACTGTGAAGAGGATGTCCAGGAGATCACCCTTGGAAAATCTCCATATACACCTATATATATATATATATAAATATCCACAGCCGTAGGCGCCGACAACGAGGAAAGTGTATCTTGGATCCACGATGGGGCTGCGGACATAGAGTCGAAACCAACAGATTTCCCAATTGCTGCAATCAGGTCCCGATTTGCCTGCCCTGAATTGTTTGGTTGTTTCTCTTGCTTAAGTTTGCTTGTCACCTTCAGCTCCGATACCTGGGCCTCCAACGTCTTGACTTGGTCCCATATGTCCGAGTCGTCGCTCCAGGGGGCGGCCGTGGCGCCGGTTTGCTCGGTGGTCTGAGTCTCGAGGTTGGTGAGGCGGATGGCGATGTCTTCGATATTATCCTCCACCTCCTCGGTCCTTGTGTCGATGGTGTTGCGGAAGAGAAGATGAAAAAACTGCGGCCCACGCTGCAGCAGGAACACAACTTGGAACCACCGAGAACAATCGGATGGAAAGGAAACGTGAGAAAGACCACCTTCGCCAACTTCTGCGTGTGCAAAGCAGCACATGGGGAGAATCGGCCATCTTCCATACGGCGCCAGGTGAGAGATGACATTAGTATTCGTAATGTGTAAACAGGTGAAACAGCGATGGGGAGGGAAGAGGAAGTAGGAAGAGCATCAGGAGGATAGGATTGTATCAGCTATCACCGTCGCCGTCACCATCTTCCCCTTCGCAGCCACATTGGCTCCAAGATCCCTGTCTGGGCCACACTGCTTACATACAGTACTTGCGCAGCTGTGGAGGCCCTCATCCTCTCGCAAGCCCCCCACCTACCTTTGCCCTCGCCCTCGCTCGCCCCTCCCCCATGCCACTCCCCCTTCTCCCCCCCCCTGAGTTCCGCCTCCTGCTGGGGGTCGCGCTGGGAGATTCACTGCTCAAGATACGAACTTGGCATTGCCAAGGGCGGGGTGCAAGGGCCATTCCCAGGCGTGTGTCTTCAACCCGCACCGTTTTTCACAGCCTTTGAGCCCGAGGAACGGTCGGTCCCTGGACGCCGAAAATGGGGAAACAGCCTTTGCCTTGATCATTTTAAGACGCTGGAGCTGTTGGAACCTCCCGCCCCCGCTATCCGTACCGTGCTTCCCTGTGTCCACGGAGGGCTAGAAGGTGACGATTTGGTTGTCCGCCTCTCCTCCCCTCGAGCATCGATCTTCGATCCTCGAAGGCCTCCCCGCTGATCCATCTTCGAACGGGTACAGCCGGGGCCCTGCAGAAGGAACCCTTTTCGTTGGGGAGGGGCTCGGTGTTCCTTGGTTGTTTCACAGCTTGCCTCAGGCTTTCCTTATGTTTTCGACAGGAAATCGAAGGTTAACTTCTGGAAACTAGGGGCCTCGTTCCTTATTTAGGGTTCCTTAGGTCAACGCCCCGACTGTATGGGGGGAGGAGGATGAGGAGGGAGGGCGGCGGGATGCCGAGGGAGCAGGGGCGGCGCAGGAGGAGGAGGAGGAGGAGGTGGAGCAGGAGGAGCAAGGGGGGACAGAGGAGGAGGGACGGGAGGAGGGACGAGGGGGAGGAGGAGGGCGGGGGCGGAGGCGGAGGCGGAGGTTGAGGCTGAGGAGGAGGAGAGGGGGATGAGGAGGAGCACGACGACGACGAGGAGGACAAAGGGAAGGAGGAGGAGGAGGATGAAGAGGGGGATGGGAAGAGGAAAGGGGAAGACGAGGAGGAATGGGAGCAGGAGATGCAGGAGGAGCAGGAGGAGGAGATTCGAACGCCTCCTCCTCCTGCTTCATCTCCTCTTCTCCTAGATCCTCGAACCTCCACCCCTCTCCATGACCCTCGATCCTCGAAACTCGCCCCATGCAGTGGAGGGCTGGGAGCCTCCACTCAGGGGAGGGCCAGTTGAGACACCAGCGGCTCTCCTTCTTCTCCTCCCTCCTCCTCCTCCTCCTTCTCCTCCTCCTCCTCCTGCTCCTCATGCTCATCCTCTTCCTCCTGCCCCTCCTTCTCCTCCTCCTCCTCCTCCTCCTGCTCCTCTTGGCCCTCCTCTTCCTCCTGCTCCTCCTCCTGCTGCTCCTCCTCCTCCTCCTCACATCCCTCCTCCCTCCTCCCTCATCACCCTCGTTTCTCCAGAGGGCCGCCGGCGTCTCAGCTGCCCCCCCCCTGCCCCAAGTCCACCGAAGCTCCCAGAGATCAGCGCCATGCACACCCGCCTTGCGGCCGCGGCGGCTGCGGGCTGCCTCGGCAGCGCGACGGGCCTCGCCGTCTCGGCCGCCCAGGCGGGCGACGACGACGACGACGACGACGACGACGACGACGACGACGACGACGACGACGACGACGGCGGCGGCGGCGGCGGCGGCGGCGGCTGCGGGGCGGCGGCGGCGGCGACGATGGCGACCACCACCACCACCATCACCACGACAACAATGACGATGACCCCTGGAGGCCTTCGGAGGCCTTCCATGGTCTTTGCCCAAGATCTTCGGCCTTCCTCATCCCTCCTGCTCTCTCCTCGTCCCCTCCTCCCTCCTCCCTTCCTCACCCTCCTCTCCTCGTATCCTCTTCCCCTCCTGCTACTTCTCCTCCTGCTCTTACTCCACCTCCTCCTTCTCCTCCTTTCTCCATCCTCCTCCATCCTCCTCCATCCTCTTCCATCCTCCTCCCTCATCTGGTGATGGCGACGGCGACGACGATGACCCACAGAAGCCTCTAGAAGCCCAAACGGGTTTAATTATTTCAAAATATTTGACCTTTGTCCTTCCTCCCCCTCGTCCTCCTTCTTCCTCTCCCTCTTCCTGCTGCCTCCTCTTCCCTCCTGCCCCCTCATTCTATCCCCATGCTCCTCCTCATCCTCCTCATTATCCCTCCTCCTCTTTCTTCTTCTCCCTCCTCCGACGGTTGCGACGGCGAGCACGGAGACCCCCGGAGGTCTCTGGAGGCACCGATCTGTGAAGACACGCTCAGAGGATGTGACCCTCCCCCCCTGTCTTCCACCTTTCCTCCCCCAAGCCGTAAGTCGGGCCTGCCCCTTATGTAGGAGGCATATCCAAAAAAGTAGCCCCCCAAAAATAGTCTGGGGATGCTTTGTTGACCATTTGTTGCTATGTCTGGGTATTCATGGGTGTATTAAAAAAAAATGTTCGTTCAAAATCCGCCTGTAGGGGGACGGGCCCGACCTAGCCCGAGCCCCCGGCGACACGAGGCCAGCCGAGGCGGCGCCTCCCCGCCGCGCCCCGCCCGCTGCCGCCCGCCGCTGGCGCCGACAAGCCCTGACAGCGACTAAGATCAGGAGGGAAAAAGCACACAGACACAAATAATCGTCGATTCCCCCAAGAATATGGGAAAATCTGGGAAGTGGGGGGGAAGACAAAAAACCAGAAAATATGGGAAACATGGGGAATCCTGTTATTTGTGGGTATTCATTTGTGTGTCCTAGGGCCCCTTCAAATGAGTGGCGCTGTTCCGCATCTGCGCCTTGGCATCGCTCGGACGTGTGCCTTTTTTTGCGGCGAGGACCATCGAGGAGCATCCTGGATCATCGAGCGGCGCTGTTCCGCACCTGTGCGCCTTGGCATCGCTCGGACGCGTGCCTTCTTTTCTCGGCGAGGACCCTGGAGGAGCATCCTGGATCACCGAGCAAACAAAAACACGCACGAAGCCGACAAATGCACAGGCCACATTGGAAGCGACTATAAGTGGTGTTGTTCCGCGTGTGTGCCTTGGCATTACTCGGACGTGTGCCTTTTTTCTTTCGGCGAGGAGCATCGAGGAGCATCCAGGATCATTTGGCGAAAAAAACCACGCAGGAAACCGAAACATGCACAGGGAATGGACGTCCGAGCGATGGCATGCGTGTGCGCGTTTCGGGATACGGTCCCGCTTGATCGTTTGGCGAAAAAACCATGCAGGAAACCGACAAATGCACAGGGAATCGACGTCCGAGCGATGGCAAGCGTGTGCGCGTTTCAGGACACGGCCCCGCTTACGATGGAGAAACCTCCCCAACCGAAAAGCTGCCCCAGCGTTGCTCAGCCACTGTGCCAGAGAGCTGGCTCAGTTTCTTTAAGGGGATGGGTAGCCTTGGCCCCCAGAGATGAATAGTGTACGTCCCTGGCTCCAGAAGCTGGCCCAGCGCTTCCTCAAGACGCTTCTGACGAAGCTGGCCCAGCTTCCTTGATTGATCATTTTCTGAATCATGTTTTTGACTGCAATCTGGGAGAATCCTTCCCCGAGCCCCCAGCCACATCGATCGAGCGCCGTGATGGTGTCCCAGTGACGAGGGCGGCGCGGGCAACGGCGGCGGCAGCCAGGCGGAGCCGCCGCGGGCGTGCTGCGCCGCCATGATTGCGGACTGCCTGGCCTGCATGGAGGGCGTGTCCAAGGAGGAGTCCTTTGGCAGCCTGCCAGAGCACACGCCGGTCGCTGAAAGTAGGTATTCTCGGACTCCGAGATCCAATCGACTTCTAGCGCCCTCCCACTTCATGGGTCTTGATGTGTTTTCTCATTCTCTGGGAGGGCCTGGAGCCAATCCTTTATCCGCCTTTCTACTTCGTGTTGTTGATCGACTTCTTCCGACCGGCGTGTAGGAAGAGGAGGAGGAGGAGGGAGAGGAGGAGGAGGAGAAGGAGGAGGGGGAGGGGGGGAGGAGGAGGAGGAGGAGGAACACGACGGGGATGATGATGATGATGATGATGATGATGATGATGATGATGATGATGATGATGATGATGATGGTGCTGATGATGATTCTGCTGATGCTAATGATGAGGCTGCTGCTGCTCATGATGATGATGACGGTGATGCTGATTGTACTGATGATGATGGTGACATTGATGATGCTGATTATCATGATGATGGTGGTGATGGTGGTGGTGATGATGATGACAGTGCCGATGATGAGGATGACGACGATGGTGATGATGTTGACGAAGATGTTGCTGATGCTGCTGATGATGATGATGATGGTCATGACAACGAGTATGATGGTGGTGATGCTGATCATCATGATGCGTATGATGATGTCTAGTATGATGATGCTACTGCCCCCGCCCCAGACAGCTCAGGATGGCTCCCAGACGGCCCCACAAGTCTTCCGAGTGACTCCCAAGAGGCCTCCAGGAGGCCTCCAGGTCGGGCCAAGATGTGTCCAAGATGTTCAGGGTGACGATCTTGATGCAGATGACTTCGATGATAAGGATAGCAGCGATGAGGATGCTGATGATAATGGTGTTGATGCCGATCCTGATGCTGATGTTGATGATACTGATGTTGATGTTGATGATGCTGCTGTCGATGACAATGACGACGATGAGGAAGAGTATGATGACGATGATGATGATGGTTATGGTGATGGTTATTATGATGATGATTGTGATGATGATGCTGCTGGCGATGATGGTTACAATGTTGGCACGTACATAAATTTGGTGGTGATGATGATGATGCTGACACTGATGCTGACGATGATGACGATGCGGTCCATGGTGTTCCATGTTGAGGACGACGCCGATGATGAAGACGGTGATGGTAACGATGCTGAGGATGCGGATGTTGATGATAATGGTCCCGGTAACAATGATGGTGACGCTTCTCGTTATGACGCTGACGATCTTATTTCATTTCTTTTCATCAATGCGGCGGCCGCCTCTTAGGCTGCCAGAGAGCCCCAAGTTGCCGCAGCTCCCAAGAGTCCAACAGGACGTCTTAGTCATTCAATAACCATGGGAAGCTACAGGTTCTGATGAACTCGCCTTTTCTCTCTCGATGGGCCGGCCTCTTAGGCCTCCAGATGCCCTCCAGACGGCCAAAGGGTCCCCCGAAACCACAGAAGAGGTCCCCGAGAGAACCTTCAAACAATTCCAAGAGCCCCCCCCCAAAACGCCTCCAAGAGGCTCCCCGATGTGCGCAGTCGGCCGGATGTTCCAGGAGGCCTCTCTGGGAACATCGGGTCGACGCAACAACGATGACGATGGTGATGCTCATTTTGGTGATGATGAGGATGAGGATGGGTAAGACGATGACAGCGACGATGTGCAATTAGCGTAGCGGTGTTGACGATGACGATGATGATGGGAGTGAGTATGAAGATGTTGATTCGGATGATGATGAGGACAACGATGAGGATTCGGATTTCGATCATGCGCATGATGATCTCCAAGCTTGACGTGCCGGCATGGCTACCAGCCGTTGGCCAAGTATGTTTTCCATGATGTGGGTGTTATTGATGATGTCGATGATGAGTATGGCCACTATGGTTTTTATGATGACGATGAGTGGGATGATGCGGAGTATGAGGATTAGGTCTGGAATGAGGATGAGTGTGAGGATGGGTACGACTGTGTCTGAGGATGGGTACGACTGTGTCACGCTCTTGCGACTGATAGCGCTGTCCAAGCTCTTCCAGTCACCTTCCGACCTGCGCGAGAACCTGATCATGCGCGAAGCGCGCGCGGTGTGTTTTTTTGCATGGTAGATTGTCATATGTAGAAATGCTTGTATTTATGAATGTCTGTTTGTCTGTATATATATATATATGTATGTATGTAGGTAGGTATGTATGCATGTATGTATGTAGGTATGTGTACATGTGTGTGTGCTGCGAGCCGTGCGACCAGTACAGAGTGGGATTGGTAAGCAGTGTGATCGAAATACATGTAATCAGATCGAAACGCATCGATTTATCTGTTGGCAGTGGGGTCGATGGGTAGATGGAGATACCAGTAGATAGCTATCAAGGCCGCTAGACACATATATCCAGACTTTGGTCAAACGCCAGTCCAGGATACCAACACTGCCCGGGATATCCTGAAA